TTCGATTTTCTGCCGAAAAATTCCGAATAGTACTGAAAAAGCTACTGTTTTACACAATTTAGCTTGATGTTTTTGAAAATATGAGAAGTTTTTGCAGAAAATCAGACACACTTTTTATTTTTTTAGAGGATGGGACTAGAGAATCGCTCAGCTTCCACCTATTATGAAAGCCTAGATTTATTGGTAACTTTTGATGACATTACATGACTGAGATGAAAACACAAAAAGAAACTAACAAGTATCGTGAAAACAAAGTAGACGTTGAACACGTAAAAAAATACATGAATACAACATGAAAAAATATAGCATTAAGTCGAGAAGAGATTAGAATTGCTCATTAATTATTTTAATTAGTACGAAACGAACAAAAGGAACATTTTCGACCATTATTTTTGATTAAGTGTATGAGAAACCAAAATTAAATTTAAAAAAATAAGACATGGTACATATCAAAAAAGGCATTTATTCACTATACTTTTCTATAATTGCTCAATAGAAGTAATTATGATTATACTTCTCAATCATTTCTACCTCTGGTGACATCCATAGCATTTTACAAGAGAAAAAAAATTGAATTTTGTCGGGCAGTGTGGCCTGCTTTGAACCCTGAGCTAAACTTCTTCGTCAATATGCAAAAGAGTCTTTTACGATTTAGAATTTGCTGTGTCTTTCTTCTACACGTGTGCATCTTATCATTAACATTGATAATCGTCGAAAAAGAAAAAAGTCTTCTCATGGTAGCCATTTACATACTCCAGTAGAAAAAGAATGCCAACGAGTTCGTAACACTCATCAGCACATTCATCTCTGACTGGTGAGATTTTATTTGTCTCCATTTCTACAAACTTATTGCAACAAACTCGTGTTGCTTTTCTAGCAGCTGAATCGGCACTACGAAGTTTAGATCGTTATTCTTTGGAGGCGATATATTTGTTTATAAGCCTGCTGAAGGCTTGTATGTCGGTATTTGAAGCTCTTGACGTTCTGCTTGAGCCATCAAAAGGAACCTGGAGTATGACAGATGTGAAAAGATTCAATCATATGAATTTAGGATCACTGGTTCAGCCATTACTCAGTTTCGACAAGGATTGCATAAGGGATGAACAACTGACTCGAATCAACATAATTCTGGCGCGAGATGAATGCATGACGAAGTCAATACTAAAAATCTCAAAGGCATGCTATGTTTATTTTTTGTGGGTGAAAGCAATCGTCGAATATTCAAATAAACGAGGGCAAGCACATCAATCAGATTAATTAAACCGAAATACAATCATTTTCTATTAGATGGATGTAGCTATTACAGAACAAAGCTGTGCTCTTACGTGAGTAAAGAATTTCCAATTTAAAAATAATTTCTCTTATATCAAACAATGAATTTTTTTGAGTAAACGGATAAGATCAGTATCGGATTTCTATTTAAAATTTGAAAAGAAGAATGTTATTGAGATTTTCATTCTATTTCTTGTTGGATATTGTTTGTTGGACATGTGTTGATAAGCCTGGATTGAGACTAAAAGCATAAGACAACAGGCTTGTATACATATCTTCAAAATCAACCATCATTTTGATGAACGTTGTATCGGCGCGTACGTAGGGGTTGCATTCCTGTTGAATCGGATGTTATTCATTGAAAACTGCTCGGTATTATATCTGGTAGAAATAAATCGATAATATATTGTGAAAGCGTTTGATGAGAGACAAATGTGCATGATGAGCATTCATTTTATCACCATATGAAGACAAAGAAAATGGTGGTCAATAAATTCATATCTATTCTTCGTTCCTTGTGTTAAATTAATATTCGTACTATTGTCACTCATTCGTCTATGGCCTGAAGAAAAATCAAGAGATAAGCAAAACATTTTTCCTCCATTGCAATTAAGTCATTTGCGTTTCTCCACTCTACTCATATTATTTTTTCCTCTCGTCGATTCCTACGAACGCCGTCGACTTTTGTTCGTTCTCTCTTAGGTTATTTTTCATATTAGTCTACGTTGTTTTTTTCTTTGTATTTGTTGTCGACGCGCTTACCACGTGCAGAACCATTTCAAGGGTATTGATACACACTTTTCTTTAACTAAATGATGTTGACTTACATAAAAGAGATATTCATGTAAGCTGTAATTTATTTTTGAAGACAAGATGAAATGTTTGATTAAAACTGTCTTTTGGATATTATCGGTGTTCGTTGGATTCATCGCCATTGGATTGGGTTATTTGAAGGTTAATGATACTGTTAGAGAGAAATGTAAGTATCAATAAAATCTTATTGTAAATAACTTAATTATTAAAAGCAGTGCAATCTACAAATCAGGACTTATGATAAGTGATGAGCATATCCCAAGTTTGCAAGGATCTTTATTTTCGTGTCTTTCATTGTAATAGGTATACGTCAAATTATCTATAATAAAGATTTTTAAAAATCTTCCATACTAGATAGTATAAATAGCTGCAAGCTGCATTAACATTATTTATCATTAAGTCGTATTACGAAATCATTTTATCTATTCGAAATAAATAACTTAGCATAAGTTTTTAGTTTGCCTCTCAGTTCTCATTTAGTTTTATTGAACATGAAAATTATTTGATGTTATTCTGCTGCAAACTTGTTCCTTTGCAACATAAAATTAAAATCAGAAAAATTTGGAGTAATATTTAAAAAAAGTGGACTAATTTATTTTACTTTATTTTCTAGTTTTTGCTAAAACTATGAATGCCTTTTCCAACGAAAACGACACAGCTATTACGAATATTCGATGCAATCAAGTTCTTAATCATGCATCTGTTCATGGTCATGTTTTAGAAATTGGCAGTGGTACTGGAATTAATTTTGTATGTTTACATAACAATACACGTATTAAAGACTATATCGGTATTGAACCTAATATTCACATGCATAGTTATATGCAAGAAACTATAAATCGTTGGCAAATTCAATTTCCAGTACGAATATCTGGTGTTTCAGCTGCTACCATGACTGATATCGAATCGGATAGTATCGATACAATTATTATGACTTTTGTTCTCTGTAGTGTTCCTGATCCATTTGCTAAACAAATACTTCTCGAAGCATATCGTGTTTTAAAACCAGGCGGACAATTTCATTTAATCGAACATGTCTTATCGGATCCTAATATAAAACCAATGACGAATTCATTTCAAAAACTAATCGAACCCATATGGACAATAGCTGGTGATGGATGTCGTTTCAAACCCATTGTGAACGATTTAGATGAAATGAAGACTATTTATTCGAATGTTGAGTATGAAAATATCGAACTACCAGTCCCATTTTTTATTATTAAAGATGGTTTAAAAGCTGTACTTACAAAATAAATCAATTTATATACAATTAACTTTTTTCTCGACAAAATCACAGTACAGAACATACGGAATCATGTTTAAACGAGATATATGGTGGTAATATAAAACGCTAAAAATTTGTAAACAATTCAAACTATCGACGATAATATGTTAGTGCCACTAATCGTTGGACAACCCGCTCATATGTACAGAGACAGCAACGAGCATCATCTCAACCTTCTACAAATATTAAAACCTACACTGTTAAATTGTACTTTTACTCAACTTAAATTCAATAAAGAAATACATCTATCATTATCAATTCTTTGATGAAGATGTGATATCGATCTGAAGTTATCTCTTGACAACAATGGAAAAAAAGTAACGAGTCCGTTACAATGGCCGCATTTTGTATATGAGTTTTCCGTCGTTTGGCACATTGTATTAAGAAAACAAATTACATCAGAAGATGCAGCGTGAAAAGCTTATTTTTATTGTACACTTTTTGCTCCGCGAAAACAAGTCAAATTTTATGCGACGAATTTTTGCATGATCGAACTTTGGTCGATAAGGATTTCGTACATTTTAAAAGCAAAAAGTATAACTATGAAATAAATTAGTCAACGTAAATTGTAGAGCTTTTCACAATGCCTCTTCTAGTAGACTAAAATCTATCAAGCGACTGAACACTGATATACAAAACGTGGTGAATACACTTGCCCCATCTGTTACTTCTCACAAAAATTTAGTTAATATTTATGCTACTACATAATTCACTCCACATTGACGATTAAAAACGAATATGAAATGAGATAATCGATGTGTGAGATGAGCGTTTTTGAGATTTAACTACTTAAAGATACGACGACTTCGTATTGTGAGAGTTCTCGAAATTTCTTCATGTTTTCTAGGTGTGGGCGTGTGTGGGTGTGGGTGGGTGTGGGTGTGGGTGTGGGGTGTGGGTGTGTGGGTGGCTGGTGTGGGGTGGGTGTGGGTGTGGGTGGGTGTGGGTGGGTGTGGATGTGGGTCTTTTCTTCAATGACGCCCACACCCACACACCCACCCACACCCAAATCTATGGTTCTTCGTATTGTTTTATACAAAAAAAAACTACGAATTCATGAACAAATAGTTTTTACTAAAACATAACAGCGAACCATAAAGCCCAAAGATTTATACGACGATAAGACGAATAAATCTTCGAACTTGTGTGCTTTTTTTTAATAATTTGACTATACGAAGATATATTTTTGTTGAAAAAGATAGTGTTGTTCAAGTTAAAGTTCTAACATTCCCTTACTGCTCAGTGACTGTCACTCATGACAGAAATAATACTGTCGGTATATCGATCGGTACACTGTGCAGTATATTAGCGATTTTTGAAAGTGTTGTATCACTGTGTATGGTATCGAAACGGGTAGATATTTTTGAAAAATGAAGAGTTTCATTTGTGATAGAAAAAAGAGAGGAAAAATAAGATTTAGAGGTCGAAACGATGTGCAGTGGAATTTAATCTCATTTATGGAAGAAACGTATTTTTTTTAAATATTTGAATCTGATAGATGCAGGCACACAATCATATACAATTTTTACATTTTGAATATCCAATGTTTATATTTTACTTCATTGAAAAAGTAAGAAAATAAAAGATTAGAAAAATAACGTGTACATCTGTGGTATGAATCTTCTCATTGTTATGATTGAAAGTTCGAAACTTGCGTTTTGAGTTTAGACAAGTTGTTTAATGATGTAAACTTGTAGTGTACTCCAGGTTGTAAAATAATTTGACATCCTGCCCTAACTTGTGTTCCTTCTACAGAGAAGCTTTTTATAACTGTATCTGTTATATCTAATTCATCTTCTGTTGGTTGAGAAAGAACACCGTTTGGTATTGTTTCTATTCCACCCACACATGTACAACATGATAATTTTTCTTGACATGCTGCTTCGACAATTCCATAGTCTGCGAGAATTGTTGCTAATGTCATTTTCGAACTATTTAAATTGACATTGATTTTATTAGATAAATTATTCTCTCCAATAACTTCAATAGTTACTTGACCATTCATCTTAGGACAAAAATCTCTTTAGTTTTTGACGCATGATTTGCTGCCATCTTTTTAAGTTCTTTCATAAATGAATAGTCTTCATTTAGAAAAATTCTAGATTCAGGAGTTAAAGCTGTTTGAATAATATCATTTGTTAATCAATAAAATTTCTGTTCAGGTTTTAATTTATTTAAATCAATTTTAATCAATGAATTATCATATTTTTTTCCATGCATAAAACGATTTATTCTTAATAATACTGAATTTTTTTCAAATCCAATTACTTCCATTTTACCATATTCTGTTGACATAATAAGACGACCATGATTTTCTATTCCGGAAAGGCCAAGTTTTGCTTGTTCAACTAGTTTATACTGTACATCAATTGTATTTTCTTGACGAAAATATTTATGACCAAAAATTTCTCGACATGCATATATATTATGCATTGTAATAGATAATCTATTTGTCCAATACATAAGTAATCGTAATACATCAGGAGAATCATTGATTCCAGCAATTATAGGAAATTGATTAATATGTCCAATCCAAGTTCTACGTTCATTCATTGCATTTAATACAGGTTTGATATTCTCACGAACATGATATTCTGCATAAATATCATATTCATATTCACCTTGTGCATTCGTCTTTGCATCTATTAATTCATATGGATGTACATAATGTCCTACAAATTCTATACGCACATCATTATAGTATTTATGAAATAGATCTAATGCATTCCAAAAATCATCATCAAATCTGTCAGGATTAAATACTAATTCTTTCGTACCAATTCGGATAGTTTTTATACCAGCTTCAGCCGTTAAAACCATATATCGTATAAGAGTACTATTAGGTAAATTCATTGGATCACCACCGGAAAAAAGAATTTCACGAATATGAAATAAAGCTTCACCAGATTTTTTATGAACCCATATTCGAGTTTTCTCATCCCAATAACTATCCTCTTGTTTAACTTTATCAATAAGACTATTAAATGTTTTTATATAGGATGCTACTTGTAACATGTTTGCTTTTTCTTTATCTGATATACCTGAAAATAAGTCCAATCTGTAACAATATTTGCAGTGAGATGAACAATTAATAGAAACATATGCTAAAAGCATTTCATATTTATGTAACAAACCAGGTATAAAAGAAAAACGATTTTGATTCGATGGATCATTTTCTCCAGTAATATCTTTAATTTCTTCAATTTTTGGTAATATTGGATTTGGATGTTTTGCATTGGCTGGTATATTAAGTGCATGTTTAAGATATGCTGCAGATACTTTTACTCTCATTCGTTGTTGAATATTATTAGCATTTTGAAATAGAAGTACACGTTCTTCTTCAGTATAGAAATGAGGATAATGATCATTAATTGATGATAATAGATTAAGAACTTCTTTAATATCAATATAACCTTCTCCACTTTTACCACCACGAGAATAGAGTTTATTCGATACATTTATCACATGATTAATAACAAGTTGTCCTTTTTGAGAAATTTGAAATATATGACTGAAGTCATTGTTCAAATTACTATCATCAATAAAGAAATCTTGTAATTTTCGGTCGTCATGGTAAAATCCTTTTTGTCTCAATCGTTGCTTCCATGTTGGCTCCATAGATTCAAATGTTTTTTCTGAAACATTGTTTCTCTCATTGATTACATGTGCAGTTTGAAGTGTGTGTAAAAATTTTCTTCGTTGATTACAAAATAAAAATCTGTGATCACTAAATAAGAGCAGCTTAATATCTTGCTCAATTGCTGAAGAAGTAACAAAGTTTACAAAGTATCGAGTATACATGAGTTAAACTTGATAAATTTGTCAATTGTGAATATCAAATATAAATATTTTAAAAAATAACACAAGTTGAATGTTGTCGATAGTCTACCTGTTAAGATTTCTATCTGAAAAAAAAACATTAAGATTTTTTCATAATGTTAACAAATATGATAGAATAGGATTGCAGAATAAATCATTCGGTTATCGAATGAAATAAACAGTACTGGCATAGGTCTATTAGACGCAGAAAGTCTCTTGTTGATGAAACCTTTTTAAAAATATACCGTGCAAAAAAAATTTATCTCACTCAAATTTTATACTAGGCGTCGTATTTTCGTATAGAAACTCTCTCCAACACTTTGAACATAATGCATTCGACGATTAAAACATTAAAATAAAAAAAGCTAAATTATCCTACTGATTGATTGTATTCAATCTCTATTATTCATTTCGTAAGGAATTTCAAAATTGTTTCGGTTTGAGAAAAAACAATTAAAATGATACGAAAACAACACTATGTAAGGTTAGCAATTCTAATTGGCGACTAGAAAATCTACTCAATATATATTACGACAATGTCCTTGTGAAGACACTATACTTTCAAAAAATATACTTTTACTAATAATACTTTATATTAAATAAGTATATGTCGCGACATAGTATTTAATGTTTGAGTTTACTTGTCTATACGTGAACTAATACTATCTTTTGTTGTAGAACTATTAATATTGTTTACTTTGTTTTGTTCCGTGTCATTCTAATAGCAGATGTCCTTTGTACATATATGTGGAAACAGTTGTTTTTGACAGTAGTGTCGAGATCGGTTAGTGCTGTAGCTCTGATCCTGATCTACTCATGAAAAAAAACATCAGGACACAATCGATTGTTTTACGACTAAAAACCAATCATGCTAGAGCATATTATAGTCGAGTTTTAAAAATTAAGAAACTTTTCATATTTGATTAAACATAGTACCATTTTACTCGAGTTCTAATCATAAAAGAAGACGTTTATACTCCAAATTTTTGTGACTTTTTTTACATGAATAATTCTGCATGAACTGTTTCGATTTAATGTATACTATTTGTTCGTAGATTTCATGCTATTATTAGTTTCAAATCTGTTCTTATCTTTTAATCGATTTCAATCATATGTAACGAAGAATAAGTGATTTTCTCGAGATTTGAGATAATGCAATCATTACGAGACTGATTAAAATCACTTAACCTTGTAAAATACATTTTAATTGGTTAATATCTTGAAAACAAGATTAAGTTTGATTACTTATGATTCAAATTTTTCATTTTCGATCTTTATGTTTTTGATCAGCTGATTTATATAGGACATACATTTCACAATAGTACTAACCAGATTTATTAATATTTTTTTTTACCTTCTTTAAACAACATTAACTTAATACAAGATTTAATCTCTCAATAATTTAAATGTTATTTTCAAAAAAAGAAAGCAGTAAAACATACACTACGGGTTAAATAAAAATGAAATGCGTTAATCCAATCACTAAGTAGCTTTTTTTTATTGATAGGTTTTATCTAGAAAATCTTCTTCATATTGATTAAGAATCAAGAAACTTCTAGCAATAAGGGTATCAAAATCCTGGCTGAATGCAACTTATAGATTAGCACCACTATACTCATTTTTTATGAAGAATGTAGTAGAAGAAAGAAAAGCTTTTTAACACAATTTTTCAAAAGATGAAATATGGAACACATATGTTCTTTAGTCTAATGAAATTAATACAATATTCGAAAAATGAAAAATCTCTCAGACGACATTTTTTTTTCTAGATAATATAGTCAACCAGAATAAGAATCTGATTTATTTATTTGTACATATCGAATACCAAGTCTTATTTTCGATTTTCAAATTTTCTTTTTCATAATTCAACATTAGCATTATTATAAATATTGAATTAAATAATAAATAAGACTTTTCTACTTAAAAATACAGGATAGGCCATAAACAAATCGACAATAAAAAATCTAAATATTTCCACTTACGATTCAATCAAATGAACTGATTTTTTCGTTAGTCATAGAACTTTACTCAAAATTTTATATCATGAGGATAATGTAGGTAAGTATTGCTATAAAATATTATGATTGATCTGTTGAAAAGTTTTTACCTGTTGTCAGTAAGAAAAATACATGTTTAAAGGTTGTTTTTTTTCCACTAGTCATTCTCTCAGATGACAATTAATAATTATCTACAGAATTCTTCACATGTATTTTTACTTGACAACAAGTTAAAATTTTTCGAGAGGTCAATTATAATACTTAATCGCAATATTTACCTACATTATCCTCATGAAATAAAATTTTGAGTAAAGTTCTACGACTAACCAAAAAATCAGTCCATTTGATTGAGTCGAAGTAGAAATATTTAGATTTCTTATCACCAAGTTAATGTATTCTCAATGCATCAAATTTTATATCGTATGACATTCGTATGTATGTGCTAATATTGTAATTAGTTCAAGGGTATATTGACTTTTCCTTTACTACTCTAGTCATACATATTAATTTGTTATTGGTTCCAAAATACTAAAATATATGATGTAGTTTATCTATTCGCTGTTTATCGACACTATTTTCTTTCCTCAATTCGCGAATTAAGATACAGATATTTTATTAAGTAATAGCAATTCAAGTACTATGCTATCAAGCGAGAACAAGAATATCAGAAAGATGACGAATCCAGTCAATTTTTGCGGGATTTTATTAGGATCAACCATGATATAGAGGATAGAATGGTTTCAAAAAGCAGAGAAAAAGTAATAATGTGATACTTAAGAGGACCCTAAATAATCTCGACGAACAACAAATAGATAAAATGCATCATATTTTTCAATATTTTGGAACAAATAGAGAATTGACATATATATGGCTAGAGTGGTAAAGGTAAAGTCAATATTCACTTGAATCAATTACGATATAACCACATGCATACGAATTGCAGATGACATATAAACTTTGATGTAGCGAGAATATATTTCTAAAATAAGCAGAAAGTTGAAATTGATTATGTCATGTGACACAAAAGAAAAACTATTTCGCCTTCCTTTCTTTATTGGACAAAAATATTGAAAGGATACTTTTGTATATAAAGTCTTTTTCTGTTTTTTTAGTGCATCTTAGCATCTGAAACATAAGGTTGAAATATCTAAAAAAAAAGCATTTCTGTACATATTTTGTCTAATAACGCATAATAGACTGACTAGAAATTCAATTTGATGAAAAAAATATCGTTGGCAAAGAGGAGTTTGGTGGCTATGGAACAGGATCAAAGATCGCTAGAACTTGGAGATTCGGAATCAGTACAAAGAACTCCATCTCATTATGCACATTTCTATGAAAAAGTGATTGATCACTTGGGAAAGTTTTCTCGTAAGACAGCGTTAGACATTGAAAATAAACTTTGTTAAATAACTGAGGTAATTACAGTACATAGTTAAATATAAATATATAATAAAAGTGAGAAATAAATCATATTCTAATAATATTTGCAGTAATATTTTATGATTCTTACTGTTTAAAATTTTGAAGTTTTTTGTTCAATACATATATCAGATACCAGTTCTAAAATCATATGAGGAATTGTACCATACATATTTAATATATCACTAAATGTGTATAATAACGAACAATATTTCTATTTTGATGAATGAACAAGTAACGTTCATCGTCAAGCGATTCACTTAGCCCTAGACTGATAGAATACATGTACGGAAGGAATAGCATAAAAAGCTACATTAAAAAAGTAATACGCAACATTGATAATATGACCAGTATACCTTAGGCGACCAGAAAACTTAATTTGGAGAATTCTCACTCTAAGTAAAGATGATGCATTTACAAATTTAATTTTTTTTTATCGTTTTTGTTTTATTTTTTTTTTGCTTTTATGAATATAAATAGCGCCTAATAAGATTAGACAACAATACGATTTTTTTATAATTATATTGGCGCTATTTGTACGTACAAAAATATGAATTATATTATTCATAAAATTTGAGTTTTATTAATCAATATTTTATGCTTAAATTCACGCATTAATTCTAAACTATTAATAAATTAGATATTCATTGATACAACATTGCACAATCAATCTTACAATAATGAATAATTTAAACGATTTCTTTAAATCCATACTGCTCATTTGGTCTGACTCTCACTAATTAAATGCTTGTGTAAGTAAGCCGTTTTACATCACTACCCAAATTATAGTTATTCCATTGACATTTTACCCATGATTATTATGGGTTCATTTACATCAGTCTTTAGATGGTCATTTGTACCATAGTTACCGGAATAGTTGTTTGTACCATGATTGCTATATGGTCACTTGTGCCATAGTTATGTGGTCGTTTCTACCAAAAAAATGACCGTTTGTGCCATAGTTATGTGGTCGTTTCTACCAAAAAAATGACCGTTTGTGCCATAGTTACATGCTCATTTGTACCATAGTTACCTAGTTAATTTTAGTAAAAAAATGGCCGTTTGTGCCAAAAAAATGGTCACTTGTGCCAAAAAAATGGCCATTTGTGGCACGAAAATGGTCACTTGTGCCAAAAAAGTGGTCGTTTATGCCATAAAAATGGTCACGTGTGCCAAAAAAATGGCCATTTTGACTGCGTTACCGACAGACAGACGGACAGACAGACACAGGTGAATTTCGGTTTCTAGACGCTAGCCTTTCAGTCTTGGGAATAGAAAGAAAATCTTATTTTATTGGCTTTGCGCGCCATTCGAAATATATATTTATTTTTATTTTAACGATCACATAGTTACCATATGGTAACCATACGTGTT